AATCATCAAAATCGGTTCATAAACGACGAAGTTATCCGCGAACACACATTAAAAAAATATATGTAGGGTGGAATTGAATAACCTCCTTCTTTTTTGAAGTCGGTTAAAAAGAACTAGAAAACAGAGTATCGATTGTGTAAATACGTTGTTTTCGATTGTACAGACGCGATGTTGTGTTGTGATTGAGCAAAACAATGCATATTTATGCGATAGCAACAATCGCGGTTCTAGCTATCCTTTTTAAAGAGTTCCATTGTCTAACTCCGTAACTCGTCGCCAGATCTATATGAAGTTTAAATGGGACTGTTTCGGAATAAAACCCTTTCGAACAAAGAATTTAGCAAATCTATATATAACGCAGTCATGCCCTTACATACATAAATCAAAAACATAAACATCCGAGAATTAATAATGTTTTCCTTTTTGATTGACTTACAGTAGTGATGCGTTATTCCTTGTTGCGCTACTCTCCTACGAGGAGCCAACTGATGTATCAGTGAACATAAATATATACATGGACCTTTTTATCAAGAACGACCATGTTTACGACCCTAAAATACACTTAAAACCATTAAATGAAAATTTTACGTCTATTTCCGTTCATTCCAATCGATAGGGCTTGGTTTATGGTTATTATCAACACAACGAATTTATGACATTTATACTGGTCTATTAGAATTAACATTAACCTCGCATAATGGTATTGCTTTAAGCGTTTTATGGCTTTAAACTAGAATATTTCCATTATTACACAGCAATCGGTGTGGTTAAAAGCCCATATAAAAAAAATATATGTAATTTATGTCCCTTTTAGGCGCCCACAATCTTAATGAAGCTTAATGATAATCGGTGAGAAGGTTAAAGAGGACTTAAACCCTGCCCCTATAAGCGAAATTTTTGTACGTGTTCATGTTATCGTAGAATTTTTGGGAATAAACGCGTAGGCAAGTGGTCAGCCCTGTACTCCCAGCTCATAGAATAGGACTAAGGTATCTCCTGTCGTAAAAGGCGACTAAAAGGGGCAACGGATTGGCAGAAGTGGCCACGAGTTGCTGCAAGATGGCGAGGTAATCGGGGAAGGTTTATTCTTCTCCGAGGCGTGCTCACGCCCAGTACCGATACACCGGTGCGTTCCATAGGAGATCCCGGGGTCTCTCCAAGCGTACAGAAGGTGGCCACCGAGGAGGTTTTAGTAGGTAAGAACCCAACATGACCCTGACATATACTGATCTTTCGAAGGTTTCCCCCCGATACCAAAGAAAAGGCAAGTGTTCACCCAACTTTAGAACTCTGTTCTCAGTTTCTGAATGTTTTCTTATGGTGGGCTGTGGTACTTCCGTGGACGCGCCAGCCCATACCTGCAACAGTGAAAGCTTTCGCGTGGCCCTATCACAGTTAAAGCACAGTTAATCTTGCAACTTCTTGCTTATTGCTTGCACGCAGGAATTTATTTAAATTTCAGCTAACTGGTAGGTAGGTAGTAACTGACAGGTGACAGGGGTCTCACAGGGTCCAATGTTATAATTAACCCGACCTACCGTCAGCTTTTTAAAATATTTTTTTTTTCCGATGCGGACATAACTAACTGACAGTATCTTAATGTCTTTCAGTGTTACTATGCGACTAGGAATTTATAACCTTATTATAAAATATTTTTATCTATGAATTTTATAACTCTGCTTATCGGGCGAAGGTAAATGTTTATTCAAACTTAGAAACTAGTGACCACGCTTAAACCATCAATAAAAGAAGAAATCTTATATGTAACGAACCGGAAAAACGATGGCATATCATTTCCCAAGATATTAGTTAGCATTGTGAAGAAAAGCTAATTTAAAGATAATATGGTTTTGGGACGCTTTTATAAGTTATCATAAATTAATATCACATAATTCTTGATGCTTTCGAAATTTCTTAATTCCTTTTAAAAATTTAGGTTATTTATTTATTTAATTTATTTGGCGCGGTTACAAAACAAAATTATAACATGACTAAATTACTATACATATTACTAAACTTGCATTTCAATAACAACCGAGCATAACATTAAATTTGAACATTCTTTACGAAACGAACAATCAATACTTATTTTTTATGCGTTTTTTATCCTTATGTATGCAAGTGATAACTCTCTCTCTATCTAGTAAAAAAACGGCATCAAGGTCCGATGCGTATTTTTAAAGATCTAAACATACATAGGGACAGACAGACAGCGGGACGACTTTGTTTTGTACTATGTATTGACGTTAATTCATGTACATAGAAGTGCTTGTGTTTTAAGGCCCTCTAAGTCTCGGTATGAAAGATGCAAGGCCATTCTTATGACCTTACCGTCTGAATCTTATTTTAAATAAACGTTTAAATAAATAAATATATTTAGGACACATTTTTACACAACGTTCTCTAGTCCCAAACTCAGCAACGCTTTTGCTATGGAAACTCAATTGACTAATAATGTTGGCTATGGATTCAGTTTTCTTTTCAATACCTACGTTTAATTAGTGTTACCATGCATTATGAAATCTAGTCCCGAGCTAAATAATTAGGCTTAGGCTGTGGAATATCATATTTCTGTGTTCAAAGTGAAGCATTATAAAGTAAAAAATAAAATGCTATTTATAAGGGTTCAAACGTTATTACTTAAATTCTAATATTTTAACTATTACTGAACTTGAATATTAACAACTTTTATAACGACAAACAGCACTAGTGTTATATCACCGTCGGGGAACGCAAGTGACCTCTGCCCCATGCGACCATGTGTCCCTTCGATCGAGTAGTTAACGTCATATCCGGTATACAGTGTTGCCAGCGACAACACAAGATAACTGATTAAACACAATTAAACATACTTTTCTTTTGTAGATAAATAATTTTTTATGTGAGAAAGCGGCAAACGAGCTATAATTGCTGATTACCAGTTGCAAAAATCTTTGCATAGGAGTACCTCCTACGGTAGTGTATAGATTGGATTAGCTACCAAACTATGGAGGGTAGAATAAAGGAGGACCATCTCAGTGTATTTAAGTGTCCGTTGAAAGGGAGCAAATTAAGGTGGCTATAGAATTTTAAATAGAGCGCCACAAACTATTAGAGTAGGATACTGAATTGAAAAAGGAAAGAAACATTTCCGCTTTGTTACAGCGCAATTTTTTAAATTTTATTGTAATATATAGACAAAAATTAGTATGGAATAAAATTAAAGAAACAAAAAAATTAAATTAAAACTACAGAAGTCAAGAGAAATATTAAATTTTTCAACCCAGCACACTTCACTCTGCTTATAACTGCTAAGTTCATATCATTTCCACTTGCTACACTAGCGCTATTTCGGTGAGAGTTCGAACAATAATTTGCTGTTTACAAGTGGACACTTTTTCGCCTAATCCCCCATACGAGACGGTCCTCCTTTATTCTACCCTCCATATACCAAACGCAATACCTGTCAGAAAAAACCTTCGGTTATGCTGAAAACCAATTTTGCTCCCTTCTCACATCGTTGTTTACTTCCCAATCAGTCCCATCTTTATTATAATTATTATCTGATGAAATACGATGACATACAGCGTTTACAGACACGGTATCTGTTTGGCCATATCGATTCCATTTATCACAACTACTACTATAGATTTTAAATTACATGAACGCGTTCCACAATATTGCGATTTTCAAGGCATTTCCTGTCTCGCACAACCACTCTGTGGAACCAGCTGCCACCGGCGGTCTTTCCGAACCGTTACGACCTGGGGACCTTCGAGCAGAGAGCATACTCTTTACTAAAAGGCCGGCAATGCATTTGTAAGCCCTTGTGTGTTGCAGGTGTTCATGGGCGGCGGTAATCACTTACCATCAGGTGAGCCTCCTGCTCGTTTGCCCCTTGTCTCATAAAAAAAAAATGGCGGATATTTCTTTTTCTCACTTTTTTCTCTCTGGGGGCGCATTTAGAGCCGCTCGTCGCACCTTCGTTCGCGAGTCCGACTTGCAGTTGGTCGATTATTTAAACTTTATTTAAACCATAATAATATAGTTAACTATAGTTTCACCCAATTCAACTGCAGCTATTATATAGCATTTTCTCGCAACGATCTTCAATGTGGTTCTTTAAGTTGATATGACTTTTTAATTTATGAACGGACTTAAATAAAATCAACGCTAAATGTTAAGTGAAGCTTACTGCAATGCATTAGTGTAAGTTGATCGGTTAAGCATTTTCTGAGATTAGCGTACACAAACGCACAGACAAACAGAAAAACAGACAAATAATTAAAAAAACATTGTTTTGGGTTCTACTGCGTTGATTAAGGCCCCCAATAGTATTTTTTCTCAAATATCTTCCATGTATAGACAACGATCAGTAACGTTTTTATTATAGTATATAGATTAGATATAGAAGATAGATAGAAGATACAAGAAGATATAAAGGTTCATTGAGCAAGAGGCATTATGTCGGGATTTGTTATCTTTATTTAATGTGTACAATTACTTCAAGATATAAAAAGACGGCTGACTTAAGACAGCATATTTAATTAAATGTATACATATAATTTACGAAATATTTTGTGTAATAAAATCATATATCAACTATGAATTTACAACATCCCTTATATATCTTTAAATCTAAGACGTGACGATAGATTACTTACAAACAGTGGATGCTAATAAAACATGGAAGCCCCAATTTCATACCAGTGATTGTTATTATAAAGCACCATAACTCTAATTGACAGTTATCACGCGCCGTCAAACAATAATGAACATTTTGTTAGTTCTATAAATCTATATCCGGTACGGTTTATAAGTCCCGCGCGGTCACGGTATAGTTTTTCGTTATATCATTTTGAAGCGACAATAATCCTTCCATGTTTATTACCTTCACTGCTAACAATAGGTTTTTGGAACTGTCGCTTGTACCACGAATATCTGATGGTGCTTTTCGACGGTATGTCGGATGGCGATTGTTCCAGAAGAACCTTTTGACTGGAAACATCGCTAGTTTCCTAGGCAGAGTTGGTCTTCATCCTCTGTGTGATGTAGGAGATAAGGGCAGGATTTCCTGCAGCGTTGTTCTGGTACCAGTCGTTCTTGGTCAGCTTCGCAAACCACTGGTCCAGCTTGATATGCTTCGCGTCTACGGCGACTAGTCCCGACATAGCGGAGACCGTAGCCACCGCCGATATATCCGCCAGCGTGAGCTGATCACCCGCAAGATACGCGCCCCTCTGAAGATACGTGTCGAGGAATCCGTACGCCTCGTCGAAGGCCTTAACGTGCTTGTCGCTTATGGCTGTCGCCCCGTTCGACATGACGTCCTCCATAGCCGCCTGGAACGCGGCGTACACGGTGGACGCGTCGAGATACAGCTGGAAGTCCACAACCGCCCGCTTCTGTGCATCACTGGGGTAGAGCTGGTCCTTCAATACCCCCCCGTATTTGGTCACGAAGTATGTGTTGATCGCGTGGCTGTCTGGCTTCCAGCAGCGGAACCGTGTGTGTGGGGTTCTTGGCGAGGTACTCGGGCGTGCGGTGGGCGCCGCTCCTCAGGTCCACGTCCCTCAGTTCCACGTCTAGGCCGAGGATCTCCAGCAACATGAGGCTGACCCGAGCCGGCGGGCTGATGTCCGTTTTGTTCAGTATAAGGGGCATTGCGCTCGCTATGGCAGTCACTGGCGTCGGATGGCATCATATCGCCTTAAATAGCCGAAAAGCTTGAGCTCTTATCAGAATATAAAGTGCTCAGCGAAGATAAACATTTGCCTTATATTACAGTGACGCAGCATTACATCGCAAATCATTCCTTCCGGTACGAATGGAATGAGTTGCTGTGTAATGCAAATCGTTTATGAAGTCTCAACTCTGTGGCGAAAATTTTTACGATGCGCGCAAACCCAGTGTCCGAATAGGCAAGCGCGGGCAAGCCGTAGCAAATTCTTTCAAACAGCCCTGGATCTGCAATGGGTTCAGTATAAAGTGGTAACAAAATAATTGAATACTCTTCCATACATAACAGGTTTCACTCAAAATTACGGTCAGATAGAGTGGCTTTAATATTTGGGGCCCCTTTTCGCACGGGGCCCGTAGCAATTGCTACTTTTGCTACGTGGTTAATCCGGCACTGCGCACACAGTAAAAGAGGCGAAATGATGAAGTGAAGCAAGACGACGATATTACCATAGCACCCAATAACAACCTCTTGACATTTACCTAATTCCAATTTATCTAATCAAACCTTTATCAACTGCACATAATGTCATTTTCACAATCAAAGAGTACTGTCGCAGGGGATAATAGTTATGGGGATATTTTTTTCCTCTGGTTGTGTTTATAAGTGCTGACTTATCACGTGCTCAGCGGTGAAGGATAACATCGTGAGGAAACCTGCATATTTTCGAAATAATAACGAAAAAATATATATTTCGAATATATGTGAAGTCCGCCAATCCGCAGTGGGGCCGCGCGGTGGACTATGCCCCGATACCCTCTGGATAGAGGAGGCCTTAGCCCAGCAGTGGGACATGTATAGGCTATTACTTTACTTTACTTTACTTTTGTGTTTATAAATAAAAAAATAGAGGTTGACTGGGATTTACCCATACGCAGAAACGACTATCGGGATAATTTAGGTCGACACAGCCAGGTCCAGGTATTTTGTCTTATTATCTGGTTCGGCTTTCACGAGGTTCTCGACATATGGAATGGTAATGTCAACCAAAAATAAATGCGACTGTGCCCGGTCCATCAACACGATATCAGGTTTGTTCGCGAGAATCGTCTCCAGCACAGGGGACAATATTATTATTGTTTACGCAATTTTGATAAGCTGTGCGCCGTAAATAAAAAAAAATCTTCTCAACCCCCGCGAAATGAAAATAACAGATGCGTACGCAGGCAATGAGTCTTTACTTTAAAGATGTATTATATTCGACCCCTAATGAATCTCGACATTTGTGCTTTGTGGCTGACAATTTAATGACCAAATCCGCTTATCTTCATGGGACGCCCCATTGTGAATACGAAGCGATGATGATCTTCGTTTTGCCGCTAACTCGCCTGAAATTAGAAGAAAAAAGAATATTTGAATCTGGTTGCTAATATTTACACACTACCTAACTATGAGTGAGTTTCTCGAAAGCTTCCGTCTCGAATATTGTCAGTCGTGGTGAAATAAAGAAATAAAAAGAAATCGGCAGCAAAAAGCCAACGTCACGCGGTGTTCCCAGGCGGTCACCCATCCAAGTACTGACCCGCGCCCGACGTTGCTTAACTTCGGTGATCGGACGAGAACCGGTGTATTCAACGTGGTATGGACGTTGGCGACAGTCGACTCTCATCGAGTCTGCCTATTCCTCCACTAGCTTTGACGTGAATATAAGAGTATATAGTTATAGATATTAAATTCAACTGCCAATAGATATCTATCCGTCAAGGAACTTCCGTACGCCTGTTTTGACACGACGCCATTTTTAGGGTTCCGTACCGAAGGGTAAAACGGGACCCTATTACGAAGACGCTGCTGTCTGTCTGTCACCAGGCTATATCTCATGAACCGTGATAGGTTAGACAGTTGATATTTTCTGTTGCCGCTATAACAAAAAATATTAAAAAAACAGAATAAAATAATATTGGGCACCCATACAATAGAAATGATTCTTTGCCGTTTTTATAGATAATGGTACGGAACCCTTTGTGTGCGAGTCTGACTTGGCCTATTTTTTAATCTTAACAACCCCGAATTAAAAATTAAGGATGGGATATACAAAGCGATGATGACGTATCTTTGTTTTGCCACGATGATATAAGAAGAAAAAAAAAGAATTTGTCTATCATTGCAAATTTTTACATAATTTGGTGGGATGAGTACATAGGCCACACTAAAAGTTTCCGGTACTGGCCACTTACGTAAACCATATGTAAGTGGTAAAAAGTAATTATAAATTACAACATTTGATAATGGAACTCTTTGGCTGTAGAATGCAGTTTGTTTCAACCGAGTGTCAATCGTTATTACATTGTGCCATTTTAAAAATTCCGTATGTGGATTTAATCGAGCAAAATTGTCGTAGTGTGATTTTCTACGATTTCAAGTTGACATTTCATTAGAGCCTCGCTTGGCTCCAAACTTTTTTTGGCGATGAAGCACCATGCTAGAATTAGTAGCTTTTATCACCAGAAGAACACGCTTATGAGGTCACCACGGAGGAGTGGCACAAAGTTTTCAAAATTGGTTTATCGTATGAAAAAGTGCAACGGGAGATTATTTTGAGAAACAACAAGTTCATTTTAGACCTTTTTTTAATAGTAATTTTTGCTTATTCATTCCGGAAACACGTGCTCCCAGGCAATCACTCAATTCCATTCATGCATTAGAAGGCTCCCTATAATCATGTTTTCACCTATGTGTAACAGTTCTATACTTACTTACGCTTGTTGCATCCAAAATCGTGTGTTCGTGGTATATCAAGGAGGGGTGTATTAATTCCAATGAAACTTGGTTTTTTACTTTTAAACACTTATATTAAAACACACACCAAAATGTTATCATTACAAATTATACAATAAAGTATTATTAATAATCTATCAGCACATGGTTCATCACAAAAATCAGCCTTCGTCTTTCTAAACTTCGGTATCTCTGTCAAATCTCCCGCCAAAAATCAACGACACTAGCGCCCCCAACTTCGATACCCGTTTAATATAAAAAATATCTGGCTTAGTCAATTGACATACTATTAAAGAGTATCTTACAATTAAACACGATCGAAAGTAGCCGACGTAATAGAAATTATGACAATTGTTTGGCACATTACTACAGGGACATAATATGTTTTAACTTCGCGATGTTATAACTTAATGTCGCTTTTATATATTTTTTTCCTTTAATGCCGGAAAAGAAGCATTACTACGAGAGTGTTTAGGCATTATATTAATATTTAATAGTTTAACTAAATTTCGCGTGTAATACAGGTAACAATCTTCTAGAATAGTTCCTTTAATTTCGTCCAATCAACAAATCCTTGCCTAAAATACTGTAAACTCCCTTAAAAAACAAATCTTTTGAATGCGTACAAATATTAACTGTGGACAATCTGGTTCATTTGTTTTTTATTGGATTGCCGAGGACGGTTTCCTATCGATCGACTACTTTTTAAATTTGTAGGAAAAATAATTATCTTCTTCTGGTAATTTACTTTAACTTTAATGTGACAAAAAGGCATGTATAAGTACCATCACGACTAATTAAAAAATAAATAGAAAGTTTTATCGATACCGCAAGGGTTCAATCACAGATAAGACAAAATGACTTGCACTGTACCAATGAATAGTTTTTTTTTATCAATTCTCTAAATCTGACATCTAAAAATTCGAAATCTCACGGTAACTTAAGTAAATTTGACAGAAATTTAAAGTTTTTTATAGAGCTAATCTCAGCACTTAAGATTAAACATTAAAATTTGTAGAAGAAGTACGGCCTGACGATTTAGCCACTAAGCTAAACAGCTGATTGCCACACCGACGAAAATCTTAACGTATTTTATCTACATTTTTTAGCATTTGAAGCAATGCTTCCATCCGTATCTATTGTTATATCCTTTCCAGCATACAAACAATTTCGAAAATCGAGTTTTACAACGATAATTCGAACGAGAGATGTCACCATTGCTTTTTAGAAATTTAAAGTTTATTATAGTGCTAATCTCTGCACGTAAGATTAAACATTAAAAGTAGAAAAAGACAAATTTGACAGGTTATACTTGAAATGTTATTTCGGTAGATTTCAACGGCGCCTAATGGCCAAATGATTTTCATCTATATTTTTTTAACCGACTTCAAAAAAGGAGGAGGTTTCTCAATTCGACCGTATATATGTTTATTTTTTTTATGTGTGTTCGTGGATAACTTTGCCATTTATGAACCGATTTTGATGATTCTTTTTTTGTTGGAAAGCAGATATCCCAAGGGTGGTACCATGATATGGAAACCAAGATCTGATGATGGCATCCCATAAAAATCGAGGGCAATCCTCAAATGTTATAGGTGCTGACAATGCTTTTAGTTTCCTGTTTGAAGTCGGTTTTTTTTGTTCAAAATTATTATGAGAAATATTGGCACGGGAGCAGTCGTTTCACTTGATGTTCACTTGAAGTGAGTTCCACTGCCAATGGAGTATGAACACTACAACTGTAGGGTAACGGATGCGTTGCCACCTTTCAATAAAGCGGGCCCCGGTTTTCCATCATTCATATAAAATTTTTTAGCTTGTTGCATTTAATGTCTTCAGTCATCTCTATATATGAAAATGAATCGCTGAATGTGTTGCTAAGCGCAAACTCGAGAAAAGCTGAACCGATTTCGCTAATTCTTTTATTATAATATTCCTTGAAGTACGAGGATGGTTCTTACGGAGAGAAAAATTTAAAAAATGGCCTGAAAAAGTCTAAAAACAACACTTTTCTATATTCCCAATATATATCCTATAAAGTTTAAGTGTTAGGGGGTTCCGAGAAGACAATACAATTGAGTGACGTTAGTATCGTATAAATATTAATGTCAATATTTGTGATTGTGTAATAACGTTTTACTAGATAGAGTGATTCAAGAGGAAAGTTTATGTGTATAATGGCACCATGGCACTCGTGCGAAGCCGGGGCGGGTCGCTAGTTGTAATATACAACCACAAATTCACCAATTTCAATCCTCCCGGTAATTTATATCGAAATATAGAACCGTATAAATACAAGTGTCTTAAATTACCTTAACAAATATAAATAAAACCAACCAAGTGCGATTCGGACTCACACACTAAGGTTATAATTGTATTATCTATAAATGAGGCAAAAAAATCATGTATGTTGTATGGGAGCCCCACTTAATTATTTTTTTATTCTGTTTTGTTGTTATAGCGGCAATAGAAAGACCACATCTGTGAAAATTTCAATTGTATTTTCTACAAATTTTAATTGTCTAACCTTCACGGTTCGTGAGATAAAAGCCTGATGACAGACGGACAGAGAAACAGACAGACAGCGGAATCTTAGTAATAGGGTCCCGTTTTACCCTTGGATAACAACATTTTGCGGTACACAATTGGTACACAATTTGCACAACAGAATTTTTTTTTCATTGGTTCTGAAACACAAAAAAGCTTTCGATACGGTCTCTACCATTATTCTTGTACATAAACTGAAAAACCTGATATTGCAGCCAATGCACTCTCTCGTTTTAAGAGTTATCTCTCGGATCGAACTCAAAAAGTGAGTGCTCATTACATTCAATAGTGATGACGTAACGCTATCGTATGGTGTGTCGTAGGGTAGTGTTCTGGATCCCACACTATTTCTAGTCTATGTAAACGATCTTTGCTATCGGATAATAGATATTCTATGTTTTACTTGGTGAGATTGGCATTATGGCAAGAAAAAGCGGAGCTAGATATGAGCTTATTTGCTAGCTGGTTAAAGAATAATTTAGGTACATTAAACACAAAATCAAAATCAGAATCAAATACCTTTATTCCATAAAGAAGCATTACACTTTCTTATTGATTGTCAAAACGCTACCACCGGTTTGGAAAGAAAAGCCACGGACCTGAGAAGAACCGGGGAAAGAAACTCAGCGGGACTTTCTTTTTTTTAATCATTTTTTATCAAACAAAGAAATGCTTACAAATATATTAAAGTCAACTTGAAAAAGCCTGGAACGATCACTTCATTTCCAGGGTGTGTTATCATTTAAATAATCACTAACATTATAATAGCCTTTAACACACAAACGTTCCTTTACAATATTTTTTGAATTTAAAAATTGATATAGAAGTGACATTGTGAAAGTTTTCTGGGATTAGTTATTCTACGCAGCCTGGTTGCGGGTAGAATTAATTTATGTTTGTTCCTAGTATTTATATCATGTACTACATTCGCATGTCTTGAAAATTCAAGTTTGTTTTTATGGACATACATAACATTTTCAAGTATGTACTGAGAAGCAATAGTCAATATTTTAATTTCTTTGATATCAGCGGCCTTTCCCCAAAGTAGAATGCTATGAGACATTATAATGTGGAAATAACTAAAATATACTAAACGAGCCGTATCTACATGAGTTAGCTGTCTTATTTTTTAACCGCGAAGGCTGCTGAGCTAAGTCTACTCGCCACCTTATTAAATATTAAGAAGCTACATTATGTATTATATAATACTTTCAAAATCTAGGGATCCTTACTAAAACTTCAATAATGTAACCCAAAGTGTACGAAAATAACTTAAAATATCCTTTACATCGCGTGCGCTGCGAAAACTATTGATGATAGAATAAAATAATGTTGTAAGAATTTGTAGAACACATCATTATTTACAAAAAGTGTCAGCGACAGCATATGTCTAACTATTATAGTTATGCCACAATAAGTGTTCTTTTATTTTAAAATTTTGATTGAAATGCCGCCACTAGAAAAGGCTCTTTATTTGTATCTTCGTATTAATCCTTATAAAAATAAATTACTTCATATTTAAGAGTGTTTCAATATCTTTATACTTATACCTTTTTGAATTATTAAATTCGGACATTCCATTCGAAAGATATCACAAATTTAAAATATTAAGTATATTGTAATTTAACTATCCAAACAGCTTAGTGACTGACTTATGCCCGGTTCCTATATTCAACGAACGGAAGTTACGTTGCTTCGTAACTTTCATAATGACTTGTAGATAAAAGGTGTAAAATAAGATAACATGATACTGTATCACAAAATGTATAATATAACATGATACTCTATCACACAATGTTGTACATTGTGTGATAGAGAATCTATTCGAGTATAAGATAATATTTACGGACGAAGTAAAAAATTATATAATACCTATATCGATTTGATTTATCACAACAGTTTCAGTTTAAAAAAAAACAGGCTTTAAATTGTTTCAGGTACGATTCAATTTTACTTATGCTTTCATAATGTCTTTAGAGCGCAGTTTCTCTTATAGTTGGACGCGAAATGCACAAATATATGTCATTTTTAGGGTTCCGTATCTAAAGGGTAAAACGGGTATACTGAGCCTAACCTGTCTGTCTGTCCGTCCGTCTGTCACCAGGTTGTATATCATGAACCGAGAATAGCGTGGTAGTTAGACGCTATAACAACAAATACTAAAAAACAGAATAAAAAATGCTTAAGTGGGGCTTCCATACAACAGGCATGATTTTTTGCCGTTCTTATTAAACGGTTTTATTTAGCTCGACACGTACGGAATTTATTTGTTTATTTGGGTCGAAATTAGAAATTGAAATTTAAGTACCTTCCCGTTGTCAGATTGATCTGAAATTTGGTACACACATTTAATTTAGATGACAATACAATATTGTAGTTTTCCGTGCACAAAAAAAAAAAAAAACAGAAAATAAAACCGTTTAACTTAAAAGTTTTTAAACGGTTTTATAGATAAATAGTGCAGTGCCTTTCGAGTGCGAGTCCGTCTGTCACATGGCCGGTTTTGTATTTTACTGTGGCGAAAAGGCTTGTCTTTCGTCATAATAATTGATGTTAAAGTCAATGTCAAATATCTTTATTCAATATAGAAGCATTCACTTACTAAAAAACTCTACCACCGGTTCGAACCTTTTCTCCGTATTCTATACATAAAAAGAAATAGGACGGGCTTTTGTTGCCTTTATTTGGGTGAGAAGGTATAACTATTTTGATAAAGCATTTGGAAACAAAACCGGTCATTTTCACACAGCATATTCCTTAAAATATACAAATATGTAATTTACAAAATGTCTCGTATGATGAAAAACTTATACCTATGAACTATAAAAATACACACATCTTTTATGACTTTCTTTAAACCTAAGACGTGATGATGGATTCCTCAATTACAATCGGATTCTGAAACTGTTGCGTGTATCACGAATTTCTGATAGTGTTATTCAACCATTTTTACGGTGGTAGGGCCACGCAACAGTCTACGCTGTTGCACGAATGGGCAGGTCCGTTGGGGTAAGTGCCACGACCTCACAGAAGACCGGCGTGACCGAAGTGGGAGTACTTCTCCATTAGGTCTGGTCAGTGAGGTAGCCGGGGCGCCCTTTATTATAAGGTGGCAACGCATCTGCAGCGCTACGGGTGTTGCAAATATCCATGGGCGGCTTGTCACTTACCATGAGGTAAACTGCCAGCTCGCTTGTCACTCACATTCTATGTATGTCACTCACATTCTCATATCTATATATGTCGGATGACGATTGATCCAGCAGTTCGACTGGATACTGTGAGTTATGGTGTCCTAGAGTTTCTCTTAATCATCTGTTGGATGAAGGAGATCAGTTGAGCATTTCCCGGAGCGCTTTTCTGGTACCATTCGTTCTTGGTCAGCTTAGCAAACCACTCGTTCAGCCTGTTATGCTTCGCGTCTACGGGGACCAGACCCGACATAGCGGCAACCGTTGCCACCGCTGAAACATCCGCCAGCGTCAGCTGATCACCCGCAAGATACGCGCCCCTCTGAAGATACGCGTCGAGGTATCCGTACGCCTCGTCGAAGGCGTTAACGTGCTCGTCGCTTATGCCAGTCGCCCCGTTATACACGACGTCCCTCATTGCCGTTTGGAACCTGACGAACACTGACGATGCGTCCAGGAATAGTCGGGAGTCCACCGCCGCACGCTTCTGCGCGTCGTCGGGGTAGAGCTGGTCCTTTAATACCCCCCCGTATTTGGTCACGAGGTAGGTGTTGATCGCGTGGCTGTCGCTGAGGTAGAACTCGCCGTCTTCCAGCAGCGGAACCGTGTGTGTGAGGTTCTTGGTGAGGTACTCGGGCGTGCGGTGGGCGCCGCTCCACAGGTGCACGTCCCTCAGGTCCACGTCGAGGCCGAGGATCTCCAGCAACATGAGGCAGGCCCGGGCGGGCGGGCTCGCGTCCAGTTTGTTCAATATGAGTGGCATTGCACTCGTTTCAGTACTAGCGGTTCAAATGACATCATGTCGCCTAAATAGCCGAAACGGTCTAACCCTTATCAGAATATATAATCGCTCGGCTTCGGATCAGCGTTGATAATCATTCGGCTTACATCGCAGTGATAAACTAGACTTCGGGTACGGAATGATTGGCGATGTGATTTCAATTGTTTTTCTCTTTGCTCCCTTCCGGTGTGCGTTCGTGTATTCTTCACGCAATTTAGGTTAAAACGTAGCCGACAAAATTGCATTTTCAAATTTAAACTGATTTCAGCTAGTGCGTGAAAATTTTAATACTTCCGCTGCGAAAACAACACCCTAATATAGACAACTTTGATTGCACCGTGGTACAGTTCCATGGTATAACCTTCAGCATTCGAGAGTTTATTTTCCAGTCCCACGCGGGACAGCTATTTGCGTGACCCACAGAGAGTTGTTTCAAATATGGGTGTTTGACCGCGTTAAAGTTATGTATGCAAAACGTCCTTACAACACAGGATAATGTTATCCTATCGTAAGGGCAAAGCTTTTTAAAAAGAAGAAAAGAAACTACTTGTAAGTTAAGAGCAGCTTATAAACAACACCCCTAGGGTCTCAAATTCGTAGCCAACCCTTAAACGGTTTAGTTAGTGGGGTAACCAGGCGAAACGCATTAGATTTAATACTCCCACTTCATGCAAGTCATCAGTGGCCGCGGTAATTCCCCGAATGAGCCTGCCCATTCGTGCAACAGCGAAAGTTTTTGTTTTTCAGTGGTTGCCAACACTGCCGCAACATTTCTGCTGCAACTGTCCACTGGTGGCAGCCCTAGCCGCCCGTTTCAAATAAAAACGTGTGGTAGTACTTACGTAAGTACGTAAGAAGTTACACTACTTTGGAAAAAAAAGACATGAAATTAATACCATGAAGTTAGTCCATCAATCCCGCTTTAATCAATAAATCTTCCTATAAACATGTTTTAACATATTAATGATGTTCTCTAGCTTCATGGTCAAGCATTGCTTCAAATGCTAAAATACAGTGTAGATGAAATGTGTTGAGTATTTCGTGGGTGTGGCAATCAGCCATTTAGCTTAGTGGCTAGAGCGTCAAGCCACGAATCCCGAAGACGATGCTTCGATTCGCACAGCGGCAAGAAACTTTGTTCCTTTTTTCTACAAAAAAATAATGTAAGTGCGCTTGTATGAGGTAGAAAGTTAATTAGGTGTCGTTAATTAGGCAACCGGATAGTTTATGTACGAAGGTGACACTCGTCTGTTTGTTTGTATTTTGTAGTTTTAATGTAGAAAGTTATGTTATAACGACATGGTCGTTACGTTGGCAAAGTCTTCTTTTTAAAATATAATATATTTTGATAAACTTTCGTGTTGGTTTCAAGAACGACATTGTGTTAACGTAGCGTTGACTCAGTATTTTACGTGCAATTTAAAAAAAAAGAATTTTAAGTGTGCACTTGCTGCGTGCTCTGTGGAGAAGTTGAAATATGTTTCGAGGATATGAATTTTTCACCCCGCGCCAAGAAAAATGGCTTAATATCCGTATATATAAAATATATGGTCTCTCAATGAGCATTTAAAAAAACCTTTTATTTTGAAAATCACGTAGTAAGATGTCATAGAAATAGTTGTTAATATCTTTCTAAAATAAATAATATTTGATTAACATTTTCTTTTAGAAGAAACAGAACAGACTACCAAGTATCTTATTCATTATGATGATACACCATCTTCAAAATTGAATTTCATAAATTTCATAAATTCAATTTTGAAGATGGTGTAGCTTTGAAGGCCAAGGTTCAAAGCAAATGAATTTAGAATGACCCCCTTGAAAATATCACCTTTCCAAAAAACAAATAAGTTTCCAGGTCGGTTTATAAATTACGGAGTTAACAAATCTAAAAGAAATACAACCGAATTGAAAACCTTTGTCTGTCCTTTTTGAGTTGGTTGACGAAAATACGTACATAAATAAAACAAACATACATGTACGCACGTAAGTTATAGGTGCTTCTTTAACGTAACAAAAGAAAAATAACATTTTTGCAATTGATAACGGTTTAATCATATTGGAAATATAGGTAAATGTCAAAAAGTTGTTATTGGTTACTATGGTAACACCATGAACTTGGTGTTACCTTTAGGTATCGCGCATCGTAAAAATTCACTCATCATTTTCCCCAAACGCTTCAAAATTATAATTTCAAAGAAAACCTTCCTGGATTAGGATCCATTCGGATCAAGTGAAATAACCCATCACGTTTAACCTGTTAAATATGCTTGAGTTATCGTAAAAGATTTTGAAGTTTTCGACCAGACCTTAATGAGTTTATAAAAAACAAAGTTTACGTTGGCACAGACCATGTTATATATTTTATTTTATCTGTGGTTGAACCGTTTTAATATACATACCTAAAACTTTTTTTATCTGTTATTGGATTACACATATTTGACTCATTGAAGCTGGAGGATAATAAAGTTACTCTATGGCAATGCCATAGAGTAACTTTCTATACTTGAAAATTGGGTAATTGCTTCCTGTTATTTTAAAAGTAGCAATTTAATTAAAATAAATTGAAAAAATATTACATATAATAGACATAAGTATAATTTAACAAATTGTAGTTCAAACTTGTAATGGGTTTAATTTGTTTTTGAAGGGATACGTTTGATAGGCGATGATTTGCTAGTTGGAAGTGAATTAAAACATCCCTGAATTCCTTATATTACAAAGTACTCTATGGAATTGAAGAAACTGTTCTTGATAGTTGTTTCCTTTGGTGCGCTCGCAGCTTTTGAAGTAATATTTCTTTTAGCCGAATATTTCTATGAAGAGCCGTGATAGCTCATTTTCTGAGCGCTCGCTACCTGAGTCGATCCCCGGTGCCGACCCCAACGAAATTTGTTAATTTTAAGTGCTGAATTATCAGCGGTTAAGGAAAATCGTGACAAAACCTGTATATTTTCGAAATAACAATAAAAAATGTTTCTAAGATATGTGAAATCCTTGAATCCGCAGTGGGTCCGCGTGGTGGACCCCCTAATACCCTCTGTACAGAGAAGGCCTTTGCCCAGCAGTGGGACATATATAGGCTGTTATCTTTCTTTTTACTTCGTATTTATTTTGGCGCATCAGAATTAAAACATGGGTGGGAGTCATATGAATTTTTTTTTTTTTTTTATATAAAAACATTGCCCTTACTTTAGGATAACATTATCCTGTGTTGTAGGGACGTTTTTACAAACATAAATATCACGCGGACAAACACCCAGATGCGAAACAACTACCTGTGGGTCACACAAATAGTTGTCCCGTGTGGGAATCGAACCCACGACCCCCGACGCCGAAGCCAATACCTTGGCAACTGTGCCACGGGGTCATCAAAATTAAAAAAATTACTCGTTCTTTTAAACTATATGCGTGAAAACGCATTAATATGGGCAGTTATTTGATTAATGTAAACTAAGAAATATTCATGGCCTTATACGAACAGTTTCGTTTACTAACTCGTTTTGTTAAAAGTTTTTTTATAAATGAAATGTAATTATTAATTAATTATAGAAAACTTTCCATTAATCTTCTTAATATATATTATCTTACTTAAAATTGTATATTATTTATAGGGATTTTTTTTAATTAGGATTGATTATTATGAATTTATTTAATCGGTAGAAGCAGTTATGTGATTACTATTAGTTATTATTATTACTATTACAGTTATGGAGTTCCTTTTTGATGTCACAATTTTTCTGTTTATGTTTTGAATATGTATTTTTTTAGTTAAGTGATGTCAAATAAAGAGATTTTCTTTCTTCTTCTTTCTTACTATACATAGGTGATCGCTCGTGAAAGACTATATATATAGTACATGTCGTGTGACCCATATATTCTGATTGTTTTTAGTCTATATTTTATAAAAGATTCGAGGAAAAAATCAATTGTTTTTTTTTATTGAATTTTTTTAAATAGAATTTTTTGCTCAGTGTTTTTATAGATAATGGTCTTAATAATGTTTAATTATGTTGCAAACGACTTATCTCAAAAATAAAGCTAAGGACGACCTCAGAATATTTATGCATTACCGCCATATTGGAGCTCTCTAAATTGTTCGCTCATTACCTGGAACACTTTTGCGTACCGATAAAAATATTACCGTGAACATAATTCTGAATTACTTTATCCCTACATATCGTTCATGGATGTTGACAATATTTCACGACTGGATAAGATCGAAAGGAGGAATTAATTAAGTTTTATTAGGTATGTTTTTAAAAGAAAATTCGAAAAGTCACTTCCCGCGCTCTTATCACAGATAATATAGAAACGCGTTCAACTTATCGCCACGTGTCCACGGATATTTCTCATTCGGCCGTGCGGGACGTCTTAAATCGATTCAAATTTAATTATAAATCGATTAGTTATGTGTACAGTCGCCGGCGGGGCGTGCTTTGAGCGGCCGGGGCCCGTGTTGCGTTGATTAGCGCCGTAACGGATGAACTTTTCGACGAGTCTCGACCGGATTAACGCTCTTAGGCGTTCCGCGGCGTTGTGAAAAATGAAGTTGTGATAGGGCGTGCCGCATAATGGATCCCCTTTCTTTCGAGGTCAATTAATTCTAATGAGACGCGCGATAGCGTCCCATTAATTAATGTCGACCGCTTGATTCACCGGCCATTTGTATCCGGTAATCGTAGGTATAAATGGAATTCGTAGGTGAAAATTTAAATGATCGGTGGCTGGTATCATTACGAAGATTGCCTCGTAGTTCATGTTAAGTTGGTCCACGCCCGCGATTTCGTCTGTTCGGATCTCGTACCGTAATCCGAGTGCGACATAATCTAACTAATCTATCTAAAATATTATAGCACACCTATGGGGAATGGGATAAATATTTTAAAATTTAAAGTATTTTCATATGGGAGGTTGGTATAAGAATTCTTTTACTTCGCATCAAAACTGTTGCCATTTATAACCATAATCATCCTATAGTT